TTGCTAGCATGTTTCTAGCATGATTAACAAGTTACTAGCATTTTGTTAGCATATTTCTAGCATGATCAGCAAGTTACTACCATGTTGTTAGCATGATTAACAAGTTACTAGCATTTTGTTAACATGTTTCTAGCATGATTGGCAAGTTACTAGCATGTTGTTAGCATGATTAGCAAGTTACTATCATGTTATGCTAGCATGATTCTAGCATGATTAGCAAGTTACTAGCATTTTGTTAGCATTTTTCTAGCATGATTAGCAAGTTACTACCATGTTGTTAACATTATTAGCAAGTTACTATCATGTTGCTAGCATGATTCACATGTTACTAGCATGATTTGCATGTTTCTAGCATGATTAGCATGTTACTAGCATGATGCTAGCATGTTTCTAACATGTTTAGCACGTTACTGGCATAGTGTTAGCCTTTTTTTTGCATGATTAGCAAGTTACTTGCACATTTCTAGCATGATTAGCATGTTACTAGCATGTTGTTAGCATGATTAGCAAGTTACTAGCATTTTGTTAGCATGTTTCTAGCATTATTAGCAAGTTACTAGCATGTTGTTTGCATGTTTCTATGCTAATCCAGATAAAACCAGTTGATTCAGTAAAAAAAAACAGCTAAAAATCAGCTAAGACCAGCCTGGCCTGCTAAAAAAGTGGCCAAAACCACTTTAAAACCAGCTTGGGAGACCAGCCAAAGCAGTCAATCAGCTTAGGCTGGTTTTAGCTGTTTTTCAGTAGGGAGTTGTTAAGCTTTGCTATAGCATTAGACAGCTTAAATACACCATAGGTCTTATTGTATAACAGTTTTCACCCCCTCAATGAAAGTCTATGGGATTTTAGGTGGTTTGAAAAGTTAGAAAAGATATAGCAACCCGAGTCAGACCAGTCTGAAGGTTTGACCCGAGTTTGGTGATTGTAGCTTTAAAAGTCTAGGAGGAGATACATTTTAAAATTTGGTCTCAGAAGAAGAAGAAGAAGAAGTTTAAACAGGATTTCAGTAAGTTGGCTTTTTCAAGCCAACTTAATTAGAAAGGCAAGACCTGAGAAAGACAACCCTAACCCTAACCCTTTGCCTTGTAAAATGACAATATGGATCTTCCTTGGTCCTCAGGGCTATCTTTTAAATCCAAGTGAAAAGGCAGTGGCTTTTTCTGGCTGTCTTCCCTAAGCAAAGTCCTGCAGAAGAATACAGACAGAACATGAAAAAATAAGCCCCCTACATTGTTCCATTATACTTGTAAGTATACTATAATCAATGCTACATTTCACAGAGGTTACCTTTGGAATTAGCTCCTGCTTGTTCAGACGAGACCGTGGCTGAAGAAGATCCAGGACGATCCTCTGACTCTTGGGGACTGTTATTGGTGTCATCCATGGGACAATTTATTTGTCCAAAAACAAAGTGAATGTCAGGTTTTGAAGTTTAAAGGGGTCATAGGATGCTAAATGCACTTTAACAAGTTGTTTGAACTGAAATGTGTGTTGGCAGTGTGTGTACACAACCACCCTATAATGATACAAATCCACCCAGTGGTTTTTTGTTAATCTACTAAAATCTTTACCCTTTCTCAAATCAAGCCGATCTCAGAAGCCGGTCTGTGTGATGTCACACAGACAGTAAGGTTTTTTAATGAATCTTTGCAATTCGCCTTTCCTAATAATGTGCTAATTAGCAAGTTTCACGATGAATGCGGCTAAAGTAAACAGTCCCTCAAAGAGCGGCTCGGAAGAGAGGGGCGTGGTCAGCAGAGCTCATTAACATTTAAAGGGAAATGCTACAAAAACGGCTTGATCTGAGAAGAGCTGTTTTTGACAGGGTAAACAAGGTGTTTTTACACTACCATTGAGACATTTTAACCAAACTATGTTACAGACTTTTCATTAAGACCCTAAAGAATCATATCAACTTGTGGAAAATGGGCAACCGATGACCCCTTTAAGGTTCTCTAATTTAACATTTCTGGACATGTTTGCAAAACCACAAGTGATACAACTTGTCAGTGCATTAATTTGCATGGTTTGGGAGTAAATCAGTTGGTATCACTCTCTGGCAAATAGGGCAAAACCATTTAGAAGATTAAAACACCTCACATTCAAACAATTGAAGCATCAATTTTACAATATTTAGCAATACAACAAATATGAATTACCCCAAATGACTCCGTAATCTGTGCGCTCAGATTTTGTAAACCGTACCTTCAGTTTTTAAATCTGCACCCACAAATTCATAATCCATGCACACGTTTTCGCAATCCGTTTCCACGGGTTTGTAAACTTTTTTTGTGAGCATTCACTCTATTTAGTTGAAATATTTGAGGCAGTGTCACTCACCGCCTCTTTATATAAGGAGTGGGCCTGCTTTGCATGCTGGAACATTATTCCAGAGTTGTAACTCAGAGTAAACAAGCTACAGGTGGTCCAAAATGCAGCGGCACACACACACACACACACACACACACACACACAGATTGAACAACCAAATCTTACATCTAAAACATTCAAAAGTTTGTTTGCACACTTGTGCATTTATGAATAGCACTTTGCATTTGTGAAACACATTTTGTGGATGTATTATTTTATGTATGAGTGAATTATGATTTTTGAGAACATACTTTTTTGTTTATCAAATTTTGTTAATGTCTTATTGTACTTATTTCTTTTTGATTGGTCATCATGTGTTACAAGAACGGGAATACAGCAACCCAAAACGTAATGAGCAAGCAATACTGAATTTTGCAGTGCTGATACAAATGAAATTATTATAATTATAAAACAAATTAGTAATTTAATAAATATGTTTTTGCTGTTTCTTTCCTAATTACAGTTTTTTATAATCGCTATGACAATTTTCTCAATACTTTTAACAATTTTCCTAAACTCTTAACACAGTTAGCACAACATCCGTCTGTGTAGGCTATACAATTATCACATTTCTTGTTGCTTTGACACAAAATGCATTCAGTTAACACAAATTGAAAATGCTTGAACTTCTTTTACACACAAGCTCAACCAAGACCAAAACAATGTAATTTTACACTGTATGTCAGATCAGATAACATAATTTTCTAAAACTAACTTATAGGCTAATATTGTGAATTGAAACACAATTATATCCCGTTTTTTATTCATGAATGAGAAACAGCTGATTGCAAATATATAATGTTATGCAAATATATAAATTACAGCTGATTCCCATCTAGGAAACACACTCAGGTGTTCTTTCAATCACACGAACATACAGTATACAGTAGAAGAGGACCTCTTTGGGCTGATCTTGTGTGGAAAAGTGCACTCCTGCATAAATGTGAGACTTCAGAAGACCTGCACGAAAGACTGGTGCCAGAGGTAGAAAGGGGACGGGTGGGAAAACGTCAATATATGTGATCACATGGAACAATGTGGCATTCCACCATTCCCAGTGCAGTCACAGACTGGTTTAACACCCATCCGAGAATGATGTCCATTTTCCTTGCTCCTTACTCCACTTTCCTCAACCTCATCGAGGAGTTTTTCTCAGCCTGGAGATGGAAGGTTTTTGACCAGATGTCCCTCCTGGATGCAATGGATGCTGCATGCCAAGCAGGGCTGTGCGATTAGTCGAAATCGCGATCTGAGACGTTGCGATTTCCTAATCGCAAAGCCTGCGATGTGGACGCGATATTACTCTGTTCCAGAGCATATGCATGACTGCCAGCCTTGAGTTGCAATCTTACTAACCAATAGAGTGAGCGCACCTCCGTTCTCCCCAATCAGCATTGGGTTGAAACAACCCAGAATTTTTTAGAGTGTACAGTAGCCTAGTCCATCACTCAGATTCTCACCTGCGTTCCTCAAAGCGGTGATTGCGGTCTCAGCCCTGATGACATAATCAGTAACACACTCACTGTGCGACTTTTGCAACGACGTTAGCTCTGTGTATAAGCTAATTACTCTAGGCTTTCCTTTGCCAGCATAATATTCCCGAAGAATCTTCAATGCCGCTCTTCCATCGTCTGCTGCTTCCCTCATAACCAGCGACAAACTTTTGTCATCCAGGAACTGTATCAGCTCTGCATAGGCTTCGGCGTTTTTCGCCGTATCTTCCTCGTCTTCCTCAAAAGACTCGCTTAAAATAGTCTCTTTCAGTCCTTGCAAATAAAGATGGCCCAAAAACTTTGTCTCCCATAGCTCGTAGTTTTTCTCGTCTCCGTCAAAGACTAATCGAGACCAGCGGCTTGTCACGGTTTCTTTTCCTCTTCTCCTCATGTTGAAAGACTCGGGTACACGCTATATCCGTCGCGACTTTTACCCAGCGTCTTAACACTCCAAACGTTTTCTACTCTGCCCTGGGCCCATAACCTGTTAACAGAGTACGCCAAATAACAGACGAGAAGATACGTCTTTACCAACCACTCAGTCGCTCTGACTGGGGCATTTTTATTAAAACAGAAAAAACACGTGCATTCCTTCAGTCACTGATTAGGTCACATGACATCTAGTGACATGACACATTAGACATCTGGATTGCCTGTCCCAAATAGAAAACAAAAATACAAATACAAATGAGAGCATACTATTTCTACATGTCAACAGTTATCTTACACATTTTATCTCCCCAACAGATTAATCGAAACTATAAGAATTTCTGTGATGGTTCCTATTGTTTTTTTCAGCAGGGTAATGATACCCATACTGTGCTGCACATTATTGACAATATTGAGCTGAAGCTTGACTTTGCAAATTTAAAATCGCAAATCAAATCGCAATCGCAATATCTGTCAAAAAAATCACAATTTGATATTTTCCCCCAAATCGCACAGCCCTAATGCCAAGACATCACAGCTGAACAGGGGTGGATAAGGCATACCAAAAGATACCTGGCCAGAGAAGATATCAGGTGTGATGAGGATGAGAACATGTGGCCAAATGCAGAAGACCAGGCAGATTAGAAGATTACTTTTTAATTTATTTTTTTATTCTTCTGTGTCTTTTTCTGTTTGTATATTTTGTACTTTCATATAATAAATGCCAACTGTATTGCATATTTTTTTGTTATCTTGCAGTAATGTCCTATTGCAAATAAAGCCTTTACTGCAGCAATTCTGTCTCTGTCTTTTTTCATAAACCGTACATTCTATAAAGCTACTTTGAGATGGGTCATTACATTTTTGTATTGAATTTTTGTAGCAAAATAAACAAAATGCATGCATTTACTAAACCCAATGAGACAAAAATGTAGAGAGGCTTAAAAAAAACTGCAAAACACAATTTGTGATCAATACAATATATATAGTATTATATAAGGGCAGATCTGACACATATGCAATAATACAGTTTCTGTAATTCCATTTGATGTTAGTCTTTTTATGACATTGTGCTACCATAGGCTAAATGTTCCTGTTGAAAGAGAACATGTGTTAGTGTTTTGGAATAATAATTTGATTTTGAGACATGTTTGCAGTGTTTTGGTAGATGTAGTGTATTGTGTTAGTGTATTATTGTAATTTGAAAATTAGTGTTGGAGTTTAGTTTGCAATGTGTGATTTTGAGCATGAAATTAACCGTTTTGTCAATTGTGTGTTGTAGGTGTGTTGGTGCGTTAAGAGTTTAGGAAAATTGTTAGAAGCATTGAAAAAAATGTCATAGCGGTCGTAAAAAACTGTAACCTTTAACTCCAGATTTTGTTATGCTTCTTATGGCGCATAACATGTTCTTCATATCACCACAGAGAGGCGCTGGCGGTGACACGCATGCTGTCAAAAAGTGCTGCAACACTCTTTCAGCTAACACTGATTCTACAAATATAAGATGCAATATCTTTTGTCTGCATCTTCAGAACAGATATAAGGACCACCACTAACTGATGTGCGTATAAAAATAATTCGGCTTAAAAAAGAGTTTTTGAGCGTTCAGTGCTGAAGAACAGCTCCAGTCCGCAGCAGAACGAGCTCTACAGTCCACACACAATCAGCTTTGAGAGCCTCGAGACGATGGAGCGAGTCGGTTCGTTCGGACGGTCTGCTTAAATGAACCGGTACACGGACTCGTTTGACGAAGAGTTGCCATAATAAGTAATTCAGCGTGTCATATTGCAGTACAAGTTTTAACCAAACACAACTTTTTTCTTTTTTTATTACGCTATTGTCTTCCAGTATCCAGCGTGTTATATAGTGTTACTCGCCGCACTCACTGTCGAGTCATTCACAAATGCTGCGCGAATCGGTTCGACCGAATCACTGAACAAACGGTTCAAATGAGGATTCGTTTGCGGATCGGACACCGATACTGTATACTGCATTCATATTAGGAGTAATATGGTAGTGTACCGATCTGAACAAAGCTGTGTAACCGCATGTGTGATGAGACTGAACTCTATCATCTGCTTCTGAGGCGCTTCCAGCGGACTCGACTCACTCTCCAGAGGGAGCGCAGCAGAGCAGTCCAGTTCTGCTCGTATTAAAGCACATCTTCATGAAGTACATCTGATTTAAACTTGTGGAAATACATCGCAAACATCACCCGTTCATCTGAAGGCACTCAGCATCATCCAGTAAGTTGACTGAATGAAATAACGGACTGACTGTATGATATCTCTCGTGTGGATGATTATATGTCATGATTATTTTTAACCTCAGGAGTTAACACAACTTCACCCGCACTGATAGCGGACTGTTCTGTTCAATGCATAGCTGGTAATGATTGTCTGGAGATTTACAGTAGGAAAACTAGATAAGAAGAGACGGTTGACCGCTGTAAAATCACCATGGTAACCACTAAAAGATGGTACTTGTATGGATGTATTGTTGCACTGTATTAAAGTGTAACTGTGCAGTTGTTACCCTTCACTCCTGCTTTAACCCAGTGTAGTCAGATTGATTCGCTCACAGTAAAACATATTCATGACAATATGTTACCATATAACTTTGTTATACACAAAACCGGCGGTGGCTTGGTTTTTAGCTGTCTCAGTATATATATAAAAAAAAAACCTTTAATGAAATATAAATATAAATTCTAATTCAAATAAAATAAAAAAATATGTAAACGTTCTGAAAGTGGCTTACAATTATTGAAGGAACAATAGGCCTGCATTTATCTTACAGTACTATGGATACTATGGCAAATTTGATAAGGGTTAATATAACTTGGATGGTTTTATAATCTTTTATAAGTTAAAGTCACATTATATATGAGATCAGACATGCATGGACTGCATCAGTGCCAAACATTTCGCATGCTCGCACACACACACACACACACACACACATTTTGAAAGCAGGTTTGACCATTTGTTGCAGCACTAGATCTATTTCTATGTTCCTGTAATGTTGATAGACTTAAATCTGGCAGAGGTCTACAAACCACCTTGGCTCTATACTTGATGTACAACACAGAAAACTCTATCAATGAGTGTATTCCTCTTCATAATTCTGTGTTGTAATGAGCTGAAGTCTGAAGTGAGAGCAGGGCTAATGGATGTTCTCTGATGTACAGTAGCAGTGCTTGATTATTCCGGCTGCAAATGCATGATGGTGAATCCTGTGGCCTGTAGCCGTTGTAATTTCTCTTTAATTGCACTCTTGTTTACTGACACTAAATCACATGAGTTTAAGCTTTTTTTCCTTTACTAATAATATGCATATTTTCTATTACAATTATTTAGAAATACATTATGTGTGTTAGAGGAAAGTAGTAGATTTTTTTTTCTTTTTTTTTTCACGTACAGCTTACAGTCAACATATTTTTATCGATGTTTTGTAGATTGAGTTATAAATAATTTACAAGTGATTAGATGATGATTAACTAATCATTTACAAAACATGACTATACGTTCACAAATGATTATTAAGTAATATGCTAACGATTGACAAATCTGTCACAAGTTATCTTAAAAAATAGCACATCATGAAATAATCAAACAGAGATGATTTATTCATGCGTTTACACAACAGGTTTTGAACACTTTGTAGTGTGTACTGCAGTGTAAGTGCTGACTGGTGAGGGTTAGACAGATGTCTTCTCTGACACACATGGAGTATATATAACTGTGCGATAATAGTACAATGTTGACATTTCAATAAGTGATTAATAATATATTAACTAGTAACTTAACTAGTAACTATACTGAAAACAATGATTCATTGAATTTACAAAAAAAAAATTAAGTGGTTGCAATTAATTTATTTTAGCTACATTTAAATAAACAAATTTAGTTGACTAATTTTCAACATTTTTTTAATTTAAATGTAGCTAAAATATTTTGTTTGCAACCACTTACCTTAAAAAAAATTTTATCATTTTTTTTTCAGTGTATTAAGTTTGATTATTTCATGATGTGCTATTTTTTAAGATAACTTACGAGATTTGTCAATCGTTACCATATTACTTAATAATCATTTGTGAATGTATAGTCATGTTTTGTAAATTATTAGTTAATCGTCATCTAATCACTTATAAATGCCTTACAACTGAACGTTATTATAAAGTGTTACCGAGCTCTATTTCTGTAGTCTGTATCAAGTCAGTGTCATGTGTTAGGATGTGTGGTAATTCATCGGATGTAGTATATTTAATATAGTTGCTGTACTGCCGCCATAATTAATGTCAAAGTAACAAATGGTTAATGCATTTAACAATGGTTTTAATGGACAATACGGCACAGGTTTAAAGCATAACAGTTTACCCCCAAATTCTGGCATCATTTAATATATATATATATTTTTTTTAAATCAATGTCAAAAAAGAGCCCTTGGATTTCAGTCTGTTCCCCACACAAAGCTCACGGGAGTAAGAAAATAGTCTGAGGGGTAGGAATGACATGAGGCTTAGTAAGGGATGACAGGAGTGAACGTATGGAGGTGAATCCAGCGTTCATAAAGCCTGAGACCGGCGAAAGCGTGAGTGAACGAACCCTCTGCGTTTACAGGAGCATCTTCACACGCTCTGCATGCAACAGTGCTGTGAAACTCTGGCTAAATGAAAACAGATGACAGAGCCAATCCCCACGTGCCTCTGCCACCACCATCTATCACCGTCAGCTCCCTTGGCCTCTCAGAGGAAAAAGTGCACTCATGTTTGCCATGGAAGCAATTCTAATCTGCTGTCTTCAGTGGAGCTCTTTGTATCTGGCAGCCAGGACGAAACACCAAGTGCAGATGAGTTTTATTACTGTGTAAACTGGTGACAATTCACACGCATTCCTCGACATTTTATTTCAAATGAAGCTATCATTAAGAAGACGCTTTTTAGCTAGGAGGCGTATACTAGAGGCGTTGAGCTCATTGTGGATGGCAGAAAGAGCTGTTTGTGTAAAGATAAATCACCAAGAGCTGGTGTATTTCCACATGCTCTGTCTGTACGAGCCCAGCTCTCCACTCAACATAGTAGCTGCAGACCCAAGTTGAATAGATTTATTTGAAAGAATTTTGCAAGCGGACATTTATGATTAAATTTCACAAGTGCAAATCCAGTCTTGATGGATGCTCGTCCACCCAGTGCATGGCCATAATCAAACAGCCTGAAAGACACAAGGCTACTTAGCATTTAAATGGCCTGTGCAGTGTTAGAAGAAGCCAGCGAGAGGCGTATAAATATCGAGAGGAAGTCTCTTTTATGAATGCGAGACGATGTGAGCAGATAAAGAAGGTCAGACGGCACAGCGAAGAGTCAAATAAAGTCATGCTGTTGAATAACTGCAAAATATTCTTGAAAATTAGAAATGCACATCCTATTAAATTGAGCTACTATAAATAAAAATAATGGCCTGGACTATAATATTTTTATGCTTATACTAAAATAGAATACTAAACATATTGAAATAGAATCATCAAAGAACAAATTGAATAAAGATTTAAATATTTTCAATTTGCATTAAAAATGCTCAGTTAACTTAATACAGTAAATACTTTTGTTGAGCTTTTATTACTATTAACTCTTATTCAACTGTTATTATTAATAACAGTTTCTTTTTGGACCATTACACTGTGTCCTCATCAGACATGACACAATAAAGCAACAAGTGAAACAATGTGTCTTCTTCTGTGTTAATAGAGGTTTTCTTCCCTTAATGAGTGATTGATTGTTTATTAGTTGATTCTGATAATTGCATAGTTTGCTTTGAGCATCACTCTGACCCATTCAGCTCAATGTAGAGACGATTATGAACATGAGAGACGAGCATTATGACATTCACACGTTTATCAACCTCCTCTTACGTGAATCTTTGGCTGTATTTGGCTTTCCCCCTCAGTAGGCGCTCAGAAAACAAGACAAGGAGACCTCTGAAACCTATTCTGCTGCTGTCTTATTTTGTATTGTTATTTTAATTTTGAGGAAGATGAGGAGGCACAGCTTCACGTGCCTCTTTGGAGAGAATACCCTGCCCTGATCCATATGTGCATATGTATTATAGATAAACATGATGTATTCATGAGACACATGCTACTGTAGCTCCATGTGGGGAGGTCAGTTATATGCTTTTCTCCATAGACAGCATTGTTTTGACATGCTCAAGTCATAATACAAACTGAACATTAGGGCTGTGAATTCATGCAGACCTCATGTAGTAAAACAGGACGGCACACAGTAATATTGTGGCACCCAATTGCTCTTTGTGCCTCCACCTTATTCTGACATTGTAATGGTTGGAAAACCAACAACAACAACAACACAAATGCATTTCTGCCACCTACTGGACTGGAGGTCAAACCCTGGACGATGCACAGGACAGTAATGGCTGCTGCCACAATTTTACTGTACAGGTACTGTACATATCAGCTTGTTTGTACCTAAATTCAGTTGAGTACAAAATCATCAGGCAGACACAGAGACAGAAAACAGAAAGATCATCTCAGACACTATTTACTGACATTGTATTGAATTTACCAAACCGGATATTCATTAAGTGATCTTTAGTGTTCTACAGAAGAAAAAAGTAACATGAGGGTGAATACATGATGAATGCGGGAACTATTCCTTTCTTTGAGATAAGCGTGTTACTTGGCAGGATTAAAGAAGTTGTCAGACGGAGGCGTCTGCGGTCCTACGCACAGCTCTCACCTCCCAGCAAACAATGATATGAGAATAGCCAAAAGTGTGTGTAGCGTGTGAATGTGCAGTGGCTTCACGCTTCGCAGTCTTTTCATCTCTCATGTGCTCTTGGCTGAACAGACACTGTAACAGAGGAGTCGCTGTGGAGCAGCAGCAGAATTAGCTGTCAATCATTATACACACCTTACAGCTCATTGCTTCAGTCATGAGGTAGATTTAGTGCTTCGGAGGATTCTCTATTAGAGAAGCCTTTAGTAAATCAGAACACCTGGATGCTTTTCAGATTCAGTACTGTGAAAGTTAGGCAGGGTTGAAAAGTTGGGTTCAAAGTTGAACTTTGTAATTATCAAGAGCTCCCGAAGATCTTCATTGGCTGGTATACAGCTAATGTACAGTACAGTATATACAGTAATGCCACGCTCTCTGACGAGGTTTGATTGATTAGTGGTGCTTGTGTCCGGTATGGTCCAGAGATGAGTCGATGTCTTCCACTGGTTATGC